GCCCTGCTCCCCTCCCGGATGGTCTGCCCCCCCTCCCCCCCACCCATTTGAGATCTAGTGTGTTCGGTATTTTTTTGAAATCATTTGGTAATCCTACTTACTGGTTCTCACAACAATTAATGCGCTATTGTATTGATAGATAGAACTGCAATTAAATTTTGGTGCCTTTGTCAACTCAAGCTAATTGTGTGGAAGACCTGTGCATCCTTTGAAGTGCTGAGAGAGCACAATGGTAGGCACAGTTTAAGAACCTGATCTTGTGTTCGGTATTTTTTTGAAATCATTTGGTAATCCTACTTACTGGTTCTCACAACAATTAATGCGCTATTGTATTGATAGATAGAACTGCAATTAAATTTTGGTGCCTTTGTCAACTCAAGCTAATTGTGTGGAAGACCTGTGCATCCTTTGAAGTGCTGAGAGAGCACAATGGTAGGCACAGTTTAAGAACCTGATCTGACTAGAACAGAACAATGCTAACTTTTTTTTTTATAAGAGCCACCACTGTTGCTTAATATAAGTCCATTGTTTATCATCTGTTTTTATAAGCATTAATAACATATCAGGCTTTTCTCTCTGTGTGTGAACAATCAAGTAATTTCTACCTCTAATTCTCAAACTTTTCAGTGTGCATCAGAGATTGATTTGCAGACTACCTTACCTCCCATCCACTACCATGTGGACTGCCTCTTATCCTAGTCATGAGAATACCAATATTCCCATGGTAAATACAGCAGCTGCTTATGTGGAAATGTAAAATAACTACATTATGTTTTTAAAACTGCTCTGCTGTCGATTCTGTCTCTGAAGGGAACAACCATTTTCTGTCTTCCCGTGTACTACTGGCTACTTGTAGAGAAGTTGAGACAGTTCCTTTTCATTGTTTCCAGATATTTTTTTCAGACTTTGGCTGGGGTTAGTGGTTTCTCCCATTATGGTTAGTATTGGATCAATGCCCTAGATATCATTAGTAACAGGTATTTAAAAATCTTTATTAGTGTTGTAGTTTCCTAATGTACAACTCACAAATGACTGTTGAGATGGAATCTTCTATATATATTATATCTGTTATCTCTGCTGAAATAATTCTTATTGTCAGCACTAGTTAATCATTTAGACAGCTGGTATCCAAACCAATATTTTCTAATAATCAGAGACAACAGAAATAAAGCAAATATTTCTGTGCTTTTGATACTGAATAATCCTGCAGTTAATAAAGCTTACTTTTGTAACTATAAAACTAATATTAATAGATCTTCTAAACAATGTATATTTTTACCACTAAACATGAATAGCATCTAAATGTTAGAGCGGTAAGGGAATAATGCGGTCAAAACCGAACATTTCCACAGCTTTTTCAAATAAACAGATAAGCAAGGTCTGTAGCTTCTGATAACTATGATTACACATTTGTGTTCAGCTGCTACCATGGCATCTTATCTAGAAAGAGATTATTCAAAATTTGACATTTAAACTCTCTGCTCTTCTGTCTGCTTTGGTCAGACATCTAGAGAGGTTGAAATCAGTTGTTATTTCTCCATTAAGTGCAGTTTTGCCTCAGGACTTATTTACTAATAAACTGAGTAGTTGTCCTTTCTGAACAATTTGTCAAAAAAATCACTAAAACCTGTGTTCTGTATTGTGTATGGATTGATTGTGGTTCATTTGCAATTATGGCAATTATGTGGGTGAAGCCAGACAATCACTGTGCTCTTGGATGAGC